TCTAGGAGGCTAGAAGTCCAAATTCAGGGTGCCAGCTCCAGGAGAATGCTTTCTGTCTCTGTTGGCTCTGGAAGAAGATCCTTGTCATCACTCTTCCCCTACTTTAGCAGGTTCTCAGTGCAGGGACCCCAGTTCCAAAGGACGGGCATGTTCCTGGTTCTTCTGGTTGGTGGAAATAAGGTTCTCCTGTCTCTCTGCTCGATTCTCTCTTTTATATCTCAAAAGAGATTGACTCAAGGTACAATCTAATCTTGTAGATTGAGTGCTACCTCGTTAACATAACTGCCTCTAATCCTGCCTCATTAACATCATAGACATAAGATTTACAACTCATAGGAAAATCACACAAGTAACAAAATGGTGGACAACCACACAATACTGGGAACCATGGCCTAGCCAAGTTGACACGCATTCTTGGGGGACAGAGTTGAATCCATAACCACTTGTTCATCTTTTTTTGGTGATTTGTAGGAGTTACTTATATATTTTAGATTTGAAATCCCTATCAGATATATGGTTCTCAAATTTTTTCTTCCATTCTTTAGGTTATTTCTTCATTTTCTTGATAAAGCCCCCCCCCCTTTTTTTTAGAACAGAACAAGGGGATACTCCATGTTTTAAAGACAAGAAAGGTGTGCATCAGGGTTGTATCCTTTCACCATATATCTATTCAATGTGTACATGGAGTAAATAATCTGAAAAACTGGATTATATGAACAAGGCATCAGGATTGCAAGAAGACTCATTAACAACCTTCCATATGCAGATGACACAATCTTGCTTTCTGAAAGTGAAGAGGACTTGAAACAGTTACTGATGAAGATCAAAGACTACATCCTTCAGTATGGATTGCACTTCAACATAAAGAAAACAAGAATCCTCACAACTGGACCAATAAGCAACATCATGATAAATGGAGAAGAGATTCAAGTTGTCAAGGATTTCATTTTCCTTGGAACCACAATCAACGACCATGGAAGCAGCAGTGAAGAAATCAAATGACACATTGTATTGGGCAACCCAGCTGCAAAAGATCTCTTTAAAGTGTTAAAAAGCAAAGATGTAACTTTAAGGACTATGGTGCTCCTGACCCTAGTCATGGTGTTTTCAATTACCTCATATGCATGTGAAAGCTGGACAATGAATATGGAAGACCAAAGAAGCATTGACACCTTTGAACTATGGTGTTGGCGAAGAATATTAAATATACCATGAACTTCCAGAAGAATGAAATTCTCTCTTGGAAGAAGTACAGCCAGAATGCTCATTAGAAGCCAGGGTGGCAAAACTTCATCTCACATACTTTGGACAAGTTATCAGGAGGGCCCAGTCCCTAGAGAAGGACATCATGTTAGGTAAAGTAGTTGTTTTTGTTGTTAGGTGCTATCAAGTTGGTTCCGACTCATAGCAACCCTGTGTACCACAGAACAAAACACTGCTCGGTCCTTTGCCATGCTCACAATTGTTGTTATGCTTGAGCCCATTGTGCAGCCACTGTGTCAGTCCATCTCGTTGAGGGTCTTCCTCTTTTTCGCTGACCGTCTACTTTACCACGTGTCTGTCAGTTTGTTGTACTGTGGGGGCTTGCTTGTTGCTGTGATGCTGGAAGCTATGCCACTGGTATTCAGATACCAGTAAGGTCTCCTATGGTGGACAGGTTTCAGCTGAGTTTCCAGACTAAGACAGACTAGGAAGAAGGACCCGGCAGTCTATTTCTGAAAAGAATTGGCCAGTGAAAACCTTATGAATAGCAGCAGAACATTGATATAGTGCCAGAAGATGAGGGCCTCAGGTTGGAAGGTACTCAAAAGACAACTGGGGAAGAGCTGCCTCCTCAAAGTAGAGTCGACCTTAATGTTGTCGATGGAGTCAAGCTTTCGGGGCCTTCATTTGCTGATGAAGCACGACTCAAAATGAGAACAGCTGCAAACATCCGTTAATAATCGGAATGTGGAATGTACAAAGTATGAATCTAGGAAAATTGGAATTGGTAGAGCATCAGCCAAAAGCAGGAAGACCCTCAAGGAGATAGATTAACACAGTGGCTGCAACAATGGGCTCAAGCATAAGAATTCTGAGGATGGCGTAGGACCAGGCAGTGTTTCATTATGTTGTACAAAGGGTCGCTATGAGTCGGAACCGACTAGACGGCACCTAACAATGTTTTCTGGGAAATTGTTTCAAATGCTATCAAGTCTTCATATTACATTTAAGGAAGGTTTAAGTGTCATATCCAGAAGATCTCAGTTAGTGTGTAACTATGCCACGTGGGAACAGAAACACACTTAAATTCAGCTTGGTAATGTTTACTTAAAAAAAAAATTAAAAGATTAATCATGTAATGATTGAATCCACTGAATACAAGGCTTTACCATCACAGCAGAGAAACGCAGTTCATAATGGATGACTACAGTGAAATTGATGTTTGACTGACAATGCATGAGTTATGAGAATTCTGTCTTTACTATTTTGACACAATATTCTCTTAAATTGTTGGATTATAATTTTGCATATATAGAATTCATTTCAGTCTTAAAGACATATAAGTTAAAAAAAAAAGAACAAGAATCAAGATGTTGTTAAGTGCCATCAAGCCTATTCGACTCAGAGCAATCTCATGTGACAGAGTAGAATTGCTCCATAGTTTTTCTAGATTGTAACTTTTATGGGATCTGATGGCCAGGTCTTTCTCCTGTGCAGCTGCTGGGTAGGTTTGAACTGCCAGCCTTTCAGTTCGAAGCTGAGTGCTTAACTGTTGCGCCACCAGGACTCCTTATCAAGAAGATATTTTGGGTTGAATCATGCCTCTTGTACTATCATTATGGTGTCCTGAAGGTATAATACCTAAAACTTCAATGTATAGTTAAACTAAAATGGATCAGGCCCAGGATATGCCACTTAAATGATTTTGAGATTATTCTATTCTCCCACCACGTGTCTGTCAGTTTTGTACATAGGGTTACTATGAGTCAAAATCGACTTGACGGCAGCTAACAATTCTATTCTCATTTACATAGACTTTTGGATACAATTTGCTAGTAGAAATTACAATTAATGGATTTATCTTCATAAGTGAAACCTCATAATTTTGTTTCATGGGTTCTCCTCATCTAGTTTTATTATCAGTTTTAGGTTAGTCTTGTAGAATAACATGGCAGAAAAAAAAAAGAATTATCAATACTTTACTTTTTACTTGTTAAAAGCCAGATTCTAAATGTATTTTCTTAATAGGGATATCTTCTAATAGTCTTCAATTTTTTCCTTTGTTTATTGAACTACTCAGGTTTTCTTCAGTATCTTGAGTCAATTTAAGTAATTTATGCTTTCTAGAAAATAACTCACTCTAGATTTTTGAATATATTTTAATACATGTATAGTGGTCACTGTAGGTTGAAATTTACTCAACAGCAATGGGTTTGGGGTTTTTTGGGGGGTGTTATAGTGTGTGTATATAAATTTACACACAAACACACTTTACACAGACACATATATACACACACATATGTATATATGTGTGTATTTTATACACACTACATATACATAGTAACCTGTACTTTTAAAAATTCATAGCCTATGTTGCTTTTATCATATAGCTATATTTGTCTTCTTTTTATTTGCATTCCTTGATCAAAACTGCCAAGGTCTTGACTGTATTGACACGCTTTTAAAAGAAAACACTTTTTGGCTAAAATTTACTCTTTGTTTATATCAGTGCTGACAATAGAAGTATGTGAGCCATAAATGTAATTAAATATTTCCCGTAGCCACATTTAAAAAATGAAATAGTGAAATAATTTTAATGGATTTTATCTGAACCAATATATCCCAAATATTATTTCAACATGTACTCAGTATGAAAAATTATTCATATTTCACTTTTTTTTAAACAGAGTCTTCAACGTATTTTTGAAGTCCCAACTATGCAACAGGCACTTTAATAGATGTGGGGATAGAGGGATAAACTAGACAAAGTCTGAACCCTCAACCTTAATTTCCAAAATGTACGAGGGTAAGTCAAAATATTGCTACTAGGGTTCCATTTCATACATGCATGGGTTTATTCCAAACAAAACGTGTTTAAACATGTCTCTGCAATCAGTGGATGGCTGCAGCCAGTACACTGTTTTAGTCTCCTTAGGGTGCCTTGGAAAAAAAAAGACACTTTTTGTGCCATGGGGAAAAAAAAATGATTTTGAGATCAGGACTAATATCAAATTTTTAACAAAACTCAAGTGGACATCTTCCCAAATCATTGAAGCTTTGCAGATTTATGGGAATGCTGCCCCACATAAAATAACAGTTTTAGATGGGTCAAACATTTTAATAAAGGTTGGCAAGACCTCAAAGATGAGCCAGGAGAGGGAAGACTGCTCAGGTTATGATGACTGTTTTTTCAGATTCCAAAGGGGTAATTTTGATAGATTTTCTTGAAGGACACAAGACAATCACAGAGGCTTATTATGAAGAAGTTTTAAGAAAACGGAAAACTGCATTGGTGAGAAAAAAGCCAGGAAAGTTGCACCAAGGACATTTATTCCATTATGACAATGCACCTTCTCATTCTTTGAGGGTAGCAAGGGCTCTCATACAAGGATTTCACTGGGAAACCTTACCCCATCCACCCTATAACCCTGATCTTGCCCCTTCAGACTTCTTTTTGTTCCCAAAACTCAAAGAACATTTAAAAGGAACACGATTTGAGTCCCTCGGGGATGCCAAAACTGCCATTTTCACGTGGTATAAATCAAAGAGTGCAGAATTCTTCGGGGAAGGGCTAGAGAGACGGAAACACTGCCTTCTGAAGTGTATAGACCTAGATGGAAGATATGTCAAGAAACAATAGCTAGCTTCACATTGTGATATTTTTGCTTAATAAAGATTTCTATGATTTTGTAACAATACTTTTTGACTTACCCTCGTATTACAGTGTATTTAATTTCCCAATGTGTAGAGCTTTGTCAACATCCACAAATTTGGATTATGTAGGCTTTTTTTTTTTAATCACTCATTTGAAACTGGTTATAATTTCATAGCTGATTTTATCTTTAAAAAACATGGAAAATTTCAAATACATATGAGTGGAGAGAAGAACAAAACAAAAACAAACATACACCCATGTTCAAGACTCAGCTTACTATCATGTTGCCAAACTTAATTTATCCTCATATTTTTTGCACAATCATTTTAAAGGAAATTCCAGGCACCATACTATCTTATGTGTATAAACTTCATAAGTTATCTCTAACCAACATTTTTTTCATAACCAAAATGCCATTACTACACCTAACAAAAACATAATTCCTTTTATTAGCTAATACTCAGTTAATATTCCCATTTTCCCCCTTAAAAATTTTTTTACATTTATTCAATTCATAATCTACATAAGGATCACTCATTCATTGCATTTGATTTGTTCAGCTCTTAAGTCTAAATCTCTAAGAGTTCCACCACTCCTGTAGAATTACCCACATTTTAGATTTGTTTCTTGTTGTGTAATTTAATTTGTTCTTCTATTCCCTGAATTTTCTCAAAATTGACATTAGATATTGAGGCTTGATTAGATTCAATATTTTTGGCAAGATGTGTCTCTTTTATTTTACCACATTAGGAGGCACATAATGTATTGATGTCCTACTTTTGGTGATGTTAAGAATGATCAGTATGTTACGATGTTGTCAGCCTGATCTATTCACTCTAAAGTTTCTGTAAACCTTTCACCTAATGACCTTAACGTCCACTGAGAATTGTGTGTAGGTCTATTATTTCACTAAGAATTACAAAATGGTAATTTTTTTCTAATTCTATAATTCTTTCTGCATTCATTCGCTGGAATTCTCCAACAAAGAACTTTCCCTTTTCAACTTTTGGCTGCCCTGAAATACAGTTCACACAGGAAGTGAAGGAAAAATGACTTTCTTTCCTTTATCAATTTCCAGCATGAATTGGTGCCCTGGCAACCTCCACAGGTATACTGTACAGATGGAAGAATACAGATGATAAGACTAAAAACTTTTACACATTCACTCCTTTAATAGCGTTTTTTTAGAATGAATTTCCTTAAGTTTAGCATGGTTTGAGAGGTGATGGAAAGCTTCAATACATGCATTAACATACTCTTTTCTTTGAATAAAACCTGGTGAGTTAAGCACAAAGCAAAAGGCATTTTTATGTTCAAAAGTTCTCTTCTAGAATTTCTCATGCTCCTTAAACAGAAAATTCACAACAGAAGGGTTTCTTTTAATTATTAAATTACATTATGAATTCTCTGATGGTAAGTAAGGTGTGAATGTTGTCTAAATGCTTTCTTACATTCCTTACATTTGTATGGTTTCTCACCAGAATGAATTCTCTGATGTTGAATAAGAGATGAATGAAGTCTAAAGGCCTTTCCACATTCTTTACAATCATAGGGTTTCTCACCAGTATGAATACTCTGATGCTGAGTAAGTTGTGACAGCAGTCTAAAGGTCTTCTCACATTCTTTACATTTATAAGGTTTTTCACCAAAATGAATACTCTGATGTTGAGTAAGTTGTGAGAACAGTCTAAAGGCCTTCCCACATTCCTTACATTCATAGGGTTTCTCTCCAATATGAATACCCTGATGTGAAATAAGTTCTGAGTAACGACGAAAGAATTTCTGACATTCCTTACATTCGTAAGGTTTTTCACCAGTATGAATTCTCTGATGGAGAGTTAGATGGTAGCCACGACTAAAGGTCTTCCCACATTCCTTACAATGATAGGGTTTTTCACCAGTATGAATTCTCTGATGAAGAGTAAGTTGTTGACGCACTCTAAAGGCCTTCCCACATTCCTGACATTCGTAAGGTTTTTCACCAGTATGAAGTTTGTGATGTATTCTAAGGCCTGTACTACACAGGAAAGTCTGTCCACATTCCTTACATTCATAGCACTTGTCGGCAATATTGAGTCTTTGATGTCGAGTAAGGTGTGCATACTGTCTAAAGGCCTTCCCACATTCCTTACAATCATAGGGTTTCTCACCAGTATGAATCCTTTGATGGAGATTGAGTTGTCCTCGCACTCTAAAGGCCTTCCCACATTCTTTACATTCATAGGGCTTTTCGCCAATATGAATTCTCTGATGTACTCGAAGTTCTGGGCCACATGCAAAGATCTTTTCACATTTTTTACATTCATATAGCTTGTCAGAAGTATGAATTCTCTGATGTCGACTAAGATGTGCACACTGCCTAAAGGTTTTCCCACATTCTTTACATTCATAGGGTTTCTCTCCAGTATGAATTCTCTGATGGAAAGTAAGCTGTTGGCGTACTCTAAAAGCCTTCCCACATTCCTCACATTCATAGGGTTTTTCTCTATTATTACTTTTCTGATATAGAGAGAAAGATGCACGTTTTCTGCAAGTGGGCATTTTTTCACAGGTGGTTTTCACTTGGCTGAAATATCCCTCTCGAGGACACTTCTGTCCCTCAAACTTGTTTTTAAATTCACAATCTTTTCCAACAGAGGAATCTTTAAGACCATGATTTTTAATTCTTTTCCTTATCTCCCACTGGGATAAATTCATTTCATAACTTTCCTTTTCTTGAAATAACTTGTTAGCATCATATTTGGATTCCAAATCTGAAAGAAACAAGAAGGCAAGCACACGATGTTCTCCTATTCTCCAAATGTAAACAAAGAAGTAAATAAAAACTTTGATAATAGGAAAAAATTAAGAAAATAAAGCCCAGTTTATTTGAATTAGCTAGAGAACTCTAAAATAGTCCTGTAATTTGAAAAAGATAAGGGGAATAAAGAAAACAAGGAGAGCTAATGTAAAAAGGTTGGCGATTAGGGAAACAGATTAGAAGAGTATTTCTTAAAGATAGATGAGGATCAGAATTATCCTGGGGAGCAAATGACACATCTTTTTGTTGTTGTTCAGGAACATAGCCTGAACAACCTAAATACCATGACCACCTAAATAAACATCTACAGAAGTAGGCACTTGGCACCTATATTTTTAACATTCTCTACCAGATTATTCTGATACAGATCAAAGTTTGAGAAATTTAAATGTTTTTAATGGATTCTCTTTTCAATCAGAACAAAGTTCAAACACCTTACCAGGAATAATATGGCCTCTGCCTACCTATAAAATATCATCTCAAGTCACTGTCCCCTTCGCTTCCTAGGTCTCTATCACACTTGCTTCCTTTAAGTTGTTAGAATATTTTATAATCTTTCCATTTCTTAGTTTTTCACAGGCTGTTAAATTTCCCAGGAATCGTATGACTTGGGTTCTCTCTATGGTTGGGTTCCTTTCTCATCCTTCAGATATCATGTTAAAAATCAGAAAACTTATTCTTGATTTTATCTAATTTATGTCCATTATTTTCTATCTCAGTAACTTGTTCCTTGTTTCTTAACACTTTTCTCAATTTTGTTGTTACATATCATTAATTCCCCCACTTATTGTTTTCTTCCTCTAAACCTTCCTAAAGGCAGAAACAATCTTTCACTCACCATTGAATAATAAACCCATTTAAAAAAATTGTCATAGAGTAGATCCTGACTCACAGTGACCCTATACGACAGAGTAGAAATGCCCCATAGGGTTTCCAAGACTGTATCTTTATGCGTGCAGATCACCAGGTCTTTCCCCCACAGAGCAGATGGCGGGTTTGAACTACCGACATTTTGGTTAGTGGTTGAGCATGTTAATCACTGCACCACCAGGACCCCAATAAACCTATAGCACATAGCAAACCAAAAAAACCAAACCCGTTGCCTTCAAGTTGATTCTGACTCACAGCGACCCTATAGGACAGAGTAGAACTGCTCCACAGGGTTTCTAAGGAGTGGCTGGTGGATTTGAACTGCTGACTTTTTGGTTAGCATCCAAGTATTAACAATCAAATTCCCATGATTAGTTAACAATTATTGGATATGTTCTGCTTCCAATCTAATACCTTACTAAATTAACTATTCTCTTTTTTGTCATTTCCTAGTGCAGTGGTTAAGAGCTATGGCTGCTAACCAAAAGGTTGGCAGTATGAATCCACCAGCCCCTCCTTCGAAATCCTATGGGACAGTTCTACTCTGTCCTAGGGTCGCTATAAGTTGGAATTGACTCGACGGCAATGGGTTAATGAGGTTATAGAAACGGGAAACAAATGCACATCTAAGCTATCTCAGTCAAATATATAAATGAAAAATGGGTGATACGTTTACATCTGGTCATCCTTCCAACTGCCATTCCACTTTTTCAGATGTTAAAGTGGTGATGTTTCTACTGTAGATCATTTCCTACCCTGATAGTCATGAATGAAATTTTTCCCCTTTTCACAAACAAGGTAATAAGAGAACCTATTATTTTCTTTTGAGTTTATATAACTATACATATCTATGTTAAAAACCCTCAGCCTGTCTTATCCCTTCATACTCTTCCCCATACCCTCCCTAACAATTCTCATAGCCAAAGTCATCACCAGTACTTCCTAGCAAAGTAGTTTAGTGATTTTTCATACATAACAACATGCCATATTCAAAGGCTTGTAAAATTCTCAGCAGAGATGTGTTTTTTCTCAAATTTTATGCGATAAGAGTTCAATATTTTTAAAAAAGATAAAGCTATTTTTCAAAAGCTGTAACACAGCAACACTATTTATAACAAGCCCAAACTGGAAAGAACACAAAATTGTTCATCAACAGAAGACTGGCAAAGTAAATATGGAATACTGATACAATGCACAGCAATGAAAATGAACAATCTACAACTACATATAACATGGATCAGTCTTATAAATATAATGGTGAATAAACAAAGCCAGACTAAAGAGTATACACTGATTCCACTTTTATAAAGTTCAAAAAACGTAGAACTAATCTATGGTGTCATGGATTGAATTGTGTCCCACCAAAATATGTGTCAGCTTGGCTGGGCCATGATTTTCAGTGGTTTGGCAGTTACGTAATGATATAATTTGCTAGTTATGTAATGATGTAATCATCACCCATGATGTGATCTGATGTGCTTAGCCAATCAGTTGTAAGGGGATTAGGGTGGGATGCGACACCCTTACTCAAGTCACAGCTGTGATCCAATGTAAGGAGAGTTTCCCTGGGGTATGGCCTGCATCACCTTTTGTCTTACAAGAGATAAAAGGAGAGCAAAGTGAGCAGAGAGAGAGGGACCTATTACCACGAAGAAAGAAGAGCCAGGAGGGGAATGCATCCTTTGGACCTGGGTCCCAGTGCTGAGAACCTCCTAGACCCAGGGGAAGACTGATGTCAAGCCACATGGAGATCTCCAAGTGATGCTGAGCCCACAGGTGTTGAAAGAAGACAAGCACCTTCCCCTAGAGCTGACAAAGAGAGAAATCCTTTCCCTAGAGCTGGCACCCTGAATTCAGTCTTCTAGCCTCCTAAATTGTGAGAAAATAAATTTGTTTGTTAAAGCCACCCATTTGTGGTATTTCTGTTATAGCAGCACTAGATAACTAAGACAGCTGGTATTTAACAAAATCAGGATAGCAGATAGTAGGGAGGAATGATGAGAAGGAGTCAGTAGGGGACTTCTGGTATATTGATAATGCTCTATTTATGAATCTGTATGCTGGTTAGCTGGGTGTGGTTACTTTGTGAAAACTCTCTGAGCTACACACTTATGATCAGTATATTTTTTAAGTATATGTTATATTTCAATATAATAAAAAAGGATATACTAAAAAGGCATAGAAAGGCAACAATAATTTAAAATGTGAATAAACTTTAAGCAGAGGCATGTAAATAAATGTCATGGGAAATACTGCTATAAAATCTGTATTTATCTCCATTTAATCAAAACTATGGTAGTTTTGTAAGAATTTTGTGGGAAAAGTCAATTTAGGGCCTCCGTAAGACAATATGAGAAAAGACACAAATAATACATATAAAATGACCAGCAATTCACTAAATAGTGATAACAGTGGTAAACAAGTAGGCAGTTATAAAGGTCTGACAAATCTTATAAGGCACAATGGTATTTTCAGATTTACTTACAAATAATTTTACTTGCAAAATAAAAATGAAACTCATAATCAAAATCAAAACAAAAGGCAAAAACTTTAGTAAAAAAAGTGAGAAAATGTTAATATTTGACTGTATAAAAGCCCACACACATTGGCATAAGCAACAATGAACAATGGAAAAAGTAACAGAATAAAGAAAGTGAGCAAAATAAATATAAGCATAAACAAACTTAGGGCAGAATGTCCATAGTCACTAATAATAAACAAATTAGAACAAGTTACAAAATTTATCCTATAAAATTTCAAGATTTTCATAAACAAACAAACAAACAAAATATTTCCAGTGGGCATAGAGTAAAACTGAGATTCTCATATATGGCTCCCCACTTAGACCTTGACATGCTGAATATGGCACGGCATGGGTCAGCGAAAAAGAGGGAGACCCTCTCAAGATGGATTGACAGTGGTTGCAACAATGGGCTCAAACATAAGAACAATTGTGAGGATGGCGCGGGACAGGGCAGTGTTTCGTTCTGTTGTAAATAGGGTCCCCATGAGCTGGAACCAACTTGATGGAACCTAACAACAACAACAACTTGTGGAATATTCTTACTTAGGAGACTAGTATATACAGCTGAGCTGCATGTTTACCAAAGAGTCAGCGATGTTTACCCCCAAAATTGTTTATGCCAGTTCTTATCCTTGTAAGCAACTAAAATTATTAATGTTTAATTAAAGACAACCACTTCTATGAAAACTAAGTTGAATGCTTTGGAAGTGCTGGCCATAAATGCACATTACATT